TAGTGACTGAATTCTTTCAGTAAACTGTAGTAAAAATATAATATTACTGATATCCAAAAATAAAGTTTAGGATTCCTGTAATTAATCTATTAAAAATGTTTTTATACTCTCTTATGAATTTAATTGAATATTAAATTCCATATTTGTGTACAGTTTATGTATACATATATTGTATTATTGGGCGAAGTTGAGTTTATTCAGATTCTAAGTCCAATTTTTTTACATTCTATGTATACATAAATAATACTAATATTTGTCAAGATGCCAAGTCAATAATTTGTACAATTAATGTATACATAAATTATACTTCATTCTGACATGATTCTAACGTAAATTTTTTTTGGTTACTCTTTATTTCTTAGTCATGATATTGTACATTTTATGTATATGTAAATTATACAATATTTAGTCATTGAATCCTATGCAAAAAGTCTGTACATTTCTAGTATACAACAAATATACATTAATGAATTTGTATAAAGTGTGTATACAAATAATGTACTGCTGTTTTCTTGTATGTATGAATTTTGTATACAAATAATGTATACTTTTTGTACAGAATATGTATACAATTAATATACTATTGGGGCGGACAATTTGGTAAGGGTATGCACTAATTTAAATATTAAAACATAGTGAGCAATAAAATGTATCAATTCTTTCACAAACAAGTGAATTTAAATTAAATGACATACCCTTGACTCCATGCAAAGGCACTCAGTATTAAAGACTGCATAAACTGAGCATTCTGTGAATGTAGAGTCAGATTGCTACCAACATCAGCAGCTTCCCTGTAACACCTGCCTGCAGCAAATGCATCTCCAAACATTACATACACCAAACCACAATCATTTAGAAATATAGCCTTCTGTAGACACTGAGAGACTTCAGGCTCTTTTGCTGTTAAGATGACATTGCAATATTTATAAATAGTTAAACTGTGATGCCATCGCTGAATGGCTCCAGGGCTGAATGACAATTTTGATTTCAAATACACTGGTAAAAGGAGTATGATGAGGGGTTTGTATGCATTGGCTTGTTCCATTCAAAAACACTGAACGTGGTCAAATTTTGTTACCCCAATTTGGCTTTGAAAGTTGTTTTTTATTTACTGATTTGTAGAAATATGAAATTTAGTTTTCATATTTTCTTGTCAGTTTCAAGATGGCTACACCATATCAGAAATATTAGTAATTTAGCCGCATTTATTTTATTATCTTGTGTTTGTCAGCTGAATATGTGTTACAGATATTTGCTTCACAAATTGTCACTGTGAAAAATTATGAATATGATGAAGAAATTACGAAGTGAAAGATTTATATTAAAACCTGTCTAAACTGAACACAAATATATTCTCTAATTTACAGAGGTGTGCAGTTTTATACAGGTCTTATAGTGAAACATATCCAGGTCCAAATAATCTTACATGCATGTTTGTAAATGCCAGGAGTTTAAACTGTGACATATTATTACATTTTTCAACACCTAATTTATAGTTACTAAGCATCAGAAGTTGCTGTTACTGGGACATCGCAAAAAGCTAAAATTCTACATGATAGCTATGACATTGATTGGAGGGACACGATTGGCGTCAGAGGTAGTGAGGTTCTATTAGCTGTAAATAGTACCGTACTCTGTACTCATGAAACTGATCTGGAAAGTGTTGATAGGTATCATACTGAAAATAATGTGAAATACTGCCTTCTCAAACAAATTGCTGACATTGTCTGTTATAGACTCCCCTATGACAATAGTGCACAATATATCAATAATCTCAACTATTCTTGATTTAGTATTGTCAAACTTTCCTAATCTCCACTTGAAGTGTTTGACAATATCATTGATTCTGACCATGATATAGTTAAATTCCACCTTGACATGAATTAAAATTTGCGAAAACTTAACAAATCCAGATATGTAATTTCAAAAAAGCCAACTTTGCAGGTTCAAAACAAGCCTTGTTAAAAATGGACATTAGCAAACTTCATTGGGCTGAAATGATGTAGATGAAATGTAGATAGTACTCTAGAAGTTTGGATGGACTTGATAAAACAAACAAATATAAATTCCCTTCCCTAGGTTGATGGCAAAGTGCTACATTTGTCAAGTAAGAAAGAATACATGAGAAAAAAGGCCAAAAAAGCAACTTCAGTAAAGGACTGGGCAAAATACAGAAAACATGCAATCAGTGAGATCATCCAATTTTCTATGAACATTACCTGTAGTGACCTTGGCTTCAAATAGTGCTTTGGCAGCTTGTGGAATCTGTCCTCTTGCCCACCATACATAACATAATGCCACATCAAAAAGTTTATCAATCAACGCAGGGTATCTAAAGAACAATGGAAACAATACACAACATAATGCCACATAAATGGTTTGTTTGTTGATTTTATGAAAATATTTTGTAAAGATGTGATCCAAGATATTTAAATTTGGGGAGTCGTAGCTTGCGCATGAGTCAGATAGCCATAGTGTGTCATTGTTTACAAACAAGTGCCTACACATGAACCATTGTGTTTTTAGTTTGCGTTGTTATCATTGCTTCGGACTCAATTTCCGCACGAGCACAGGTGACGACCCTCTCATTTTAAATATATACAAAACAAATATCCAAGATTGCTTTCACCACAGCACATGCAATCAAACTAGATCAGCGACTTTGCAAGACAAAATTGTGAAGACAACTTTGAAGTCAACCATTATTATCTATTTACTGTCTCTTATAACCAATAAAAACTAAAGATCGATTGACTTACCTGGCTTTCAACGCCAGCTTCACCTTGTCAACTGAGTACTGTATACAGGCATCCTCATCAAGTACTTCATCTTTACTGGTATGTCTATACTTGAATGAACTTGGTAGCATTATATCCACAGTGTGCGCCAAGGCTATAACAGTATAGACAATACATGTATGTTACATTTTGGCCACAGTATATGTGTGTATTTATATACTTCCATGAGCATTTTAACTGGATACATTTATTTACAAGGTATTGTAACACATCAAGCAATTATTCCAAATTTATCACAGTTCTATGCATAAACACCAACGCCTACTGTTTACTGCAAGAGTGTTCGTCTCAAAAACAATTTACATTTAGCTAAGGTTTAAATAGTTATGATCTACAATAATACATGGTTATGTCCAATTTAAAGTTGCCATTATTTTTGAAATGGCAAAATTCCAGACCTGTTTAAATGATCAAGCCTTGAATACAATGTCAGCTTTGCTAATGTTATTTTATTCAAAATGAATTCAAATCTTGAATCTATAGGGCCGAATCCACCGTTATTGTCCTTGCATTTTAGATAATCCGTGAACGAAAAGTAAAAATTACCTGCAATCACCTGTCCGATTGTACACAAGGGATGCCGACTATGTATGGTTCTTATCATGTAAGATTTACATGCAAGATTCGGAAGAATGTCACGGAGGGCCGCTTCATCAGAATTACTTCCAGCTTCAAAGATACTTCTTCCATCCATTACTGAGTCACCATTAACAAAAGTTTCACTTCGAGCCAGTTCTCTGTGAAGCCATTTCAACTGACAAGAATGTAAAGTCTGTCGGCATTTTAGAATGACCTTCTGCTGATGTAAAACCGGAATTTGTTGATTTTTTTCTTTCCTGCAAGTTTTTAAACAAATCTCCATCAGTGTTGGCACATCACGTACAGGGTTGAGATCTTCAACAATAACAACATCTGTGGACTCATCATCCATAAATGGGGAAAAAAAATCCAATTCTGTCTGTCGGTAAATTTTTTTTCGCCGCCTTTTCTGTTTTTTGCTTCGACCTGCCTTACGCTCCTGCTTTGGTAGTTCAACGGCAGCACCTTGCAGACTTAGTTTGTCAAGGCTCAAAGCTTCATCATCAGAACTGCTGCAAATGTCTTCCTCTGCAGTAAAGTAATCATCAGAACTGAAGCATCCATCTACATAATCATCATCATCATGCTCAATTTTCATGTCATCATCTTCCTTCTCATTTTCACAAAACTCCTTTTTCTGTTTTCTGCCACTTTTTCTTCTCCTACGCTTTGGTTCCACGGGTTTCGAAAACTCCCATGATACCATGCGAGCAAATGAACGCTTCCCAATCGGTGATGCTAACTTCAGTAAATCCTCATCTTCATCAGCTTTATTTGTTGCCATGATAACAAATTCTGAAATAAAAATGAAATAACAAAACAATTGGCTAACAAGAACGAGGTCAGCATTGTTCTAATTCAACTTGTCATTTTCTAAAAACGTCTAGTTAGCATTTTTAGATACTTTAAAGCATATAACATAGTGTAACTATTACAACCTTGTCCATTGAGGATCTAGATTAAATATAAAATGGTTACAATCTGAAGTAATCATAATTACATAAACAATTAATTAATATATTTGTTACTCAATTAATAATACTACATGTCCTGTATTGACCTCAATGTCCCTTATGAAATACTATAACATGAATTATAGAAAAGTTCCCAATTAATAGTGCAGTAATTCATATAAGCAAAATAAAATACTTTTTTTTTACTCATTTATACTCATACTGAAAACAACATATCAGTTTACTACACTTGGATAGCATACTACTAACATCTGGTTCTCAGTACAAGCAGTATAAATGTCTTCATTCTGTCTACATCTAAACAAATGTTTAATTTCAGCCATATTTGACTTCATATGTTGAAAATTGCAGTTGCTAGTTCAAGTTAAACCAGAATTGAACATGTTTGACATTTCATAGCGATTGATAAGATTCCTAAATTTGAAAAAAATTGTTTAAGTTATTGTAATCGCAAGAAGACAATTATATATGATATTTAATCAATATTTAAAAAAATATTTATGGCAGCACTGTCACTGGGTGATGCTGGGAGTAGCTGTGGTTTCGTTTCGTTTTGGGTCCGGGTAGGACTTGGGCTTCGTCAGTATGGAGGGTGGCCTAGTACACCGACGGTGCGTGTGGACGAAGCTAAGGTCCAATCTAGTCCCAAGAACACGACGCGCGAAACCATGGCTACGGTGGGAGTGGCGGCATATTAAACGCATAATAAAGTAAACTTGGATGAAAAGTAACTTACATGTCTGAAAACAACTGCAAACGATGAGAATGTACTTTCAGAACCACTTATGGTGTTTCGATAAGATACTGCCAGGTTGTACAATCACAACTCCAATATATTACACAAGATTTCCGTCTTGTTGTGAAAGCCCGCTACTAACGCGGGCATTTCCGCTTCCGCTGGCTCGGTTTCTGTGAACAGCGCCCCCTGAGCCTGATACTGTCAAAATTGAGTAATCAAGAAACCATTATCTGGTCGAAAAATATACCACTTAAATGTTAGTGTCTGACCTAGAGTTATCACCTCGGGTTTTTAGTAGGCTGATACAATAAGCGAACATTTTTTTGAAAAAATATCAATTAGATTACTCCAACATTCTTATATTCCCCGGGCCACTCGACTAAAAATCAGGCACGCAACCTGAAAAAAACGTTATCTTGTTCAAAAAATTAATTGCATCACACGTTCACTTGGCCATTGTTTTAGGGAATAATTTAAAAAAAAGAACAATATTTATCATATTAACTGTTTCTTTCTTGTTCGTGTATAAGGTCGTTGCAAGTCGAAAATTATGATTCACGTAGCATTGCAAGACACCAGATTAAGTTTGTTCTCAGGCAACAAATAAATAGTTGTCTGAGGTTTGTTTTATAATACATGACAGGCATGGTAATCCCGTGATCGCTATAAAAATACCCTCAGTTTGAATATGGGAAAGCATGCGACTTCATTCATTGTTATTGTCCATGATATACTATGGTGTTTATAGTCGGATAAATTACTTTTTCTGTACAATGGCGAAAATTTTGAAGGGTGCTCATAGTCAGCAGACGTTTATCATATTCGAACAACTACGATAATCAATATCACCTCATAAAACTCATTCAAAGGTATGAAATATCCAATGATTTCGTGTATCCATAATAATAATAAAAATAATGATAATAATTTCATTTATTACACCATAATGAAAGTTAACAAATCATTTTAGACTGTTATGTAATACATTTTGAAAAACCAGTAACAAAAATAGAATACAAATTAAATTATGAAAGGCCATTGGGTGGAAAGATCGCACGGATTGGGTAATATGATTGACTTTCGCCAACGCCCACTTTAAAGATCGAGCGCACTTCAATATGGCGATTAAATATAGACAATATTGTACTATACTGTCTATGCTGAAACGCATTTAAAAAATGACAATTACCGAATTTTAAAAGGTGTACATTATAAAGAAAATCTATGAGACGTGGACCAGAGATGAATCTAGTGAGCAATAAGAATAAACGTCAATGTGGGTAAATCGTGAAGTCCTAGATCTCACTGGAACCATCGTCCGAATCGCACGTTCCCGTGTCTTCGGCCTTGGCCAAATAACTTAGACCTTGGCTAGCGAAGATGACAGGAACTTGCCCATAAATGACTGAAATGAGAACAGGTAGAGCTATGCACTCTGCTTGAACCACATATTATTTTGACCAAATATTGAGGGCGCACTGTATAACACGTGGATTTAAAAAAAATGGCGACCTCCATGTGTACAAACAATATGTGCTCGTATATTATGATTTTATTCCTTCTGCTCTTACAGTGTCGATGTGATTGTCTGAACAGACTATCGGCATCAATGATATTCGATCAGGTTCAATATAGCTGTATTTTAGCTGTTTTCCCACCTGCGGAGCCAAGACTCGTTAGCGTCTTCGAACAGCTGTCAGAGGTGTACTTCCAAGAAGATTTGGTAATCGTGGGTGAGTTTATCGACGACCTTGACATGTTCTCCTGGAAACAAGACAGAAACGAAATCTTGAAATGGTCGACGGCTTCATCGTGTGATAAAACCATTGCGTTCTTCCCGAGAGAGATAGTTGACAGAACCTGTCTGATTTCTGCGCCGCGTTTTTACCCGAAAGCGGAATGTTACGATGGACCGCAAACAGTACATGCGTTGTTGTCCTTTTTAAATACAAAATGTGGAGCGTATAGAAATCTGAAAGGCGACCTCAGTGTTGCAGGATTACACAGGGATTACATATTACGTAATATATTCCACGTATCTGACGTAACAAGCTGTACCTCATGGGATGTATTTGGTGATGGAGAGTTATGTAAACATAAAGCTGAAGACGTTTGCATAGACTGTAAAGATGACGAAGAGCACGATGATGTTGCTAGGGATACCGCATCTTTGTATACAAGAAATGTAGTGACGATGCCAGTGTGTGATAAAATCTCTATGCCGAGTAAAGAGATTTTTTTTAACAATTACTTAAAACGTTCCAAGCCCGTTATTATCACCGGTGCCATGGACGACTGGGACGCAATAACAAAATGGAGTAATGAGTTTTTGCGCGAAAAATACGGAAAGAAGGAAATTCATATCAAACTTGCACCAAATGGAGAATTTGAAGGTTGTGAACCAGCAGAAGTTTGGGAGAGTTATCAAACATTTTCTGTCCCAGAAATAGTAAAATCCCAACTACCGTTTCCGGACTTGGTTGTTGTGCGACCAGCGACAATGAATATAAACTTTTCAGAATTCATGGATATGATAGACAATGAGAGACTCAAAGAAAATAATATCTCAGCTTATTTAGAGTATTCTTCTATTCCACAGTATATGCCGGAATTGGAAAAAGACATCAAGGAATTGCCATTTGTAAAAGACAGGTTAATCCGTAAACATTTGAATATCTGGATCAGTGATGGAAACACCTTGGGAAAACTTCATTTTGATCCATTTGATAACTTTCTGTGTATGATCAGTGGGAAAAAGGAACTAATACTATTCGAACCATTCAACAATACTCAACTTTATGAAGCCCATATTCCAGAAGCAATTCTAGATTATGATCCTTCCCATGGAAAATTTCACAAACGAAGGTTACTGGATAGTACGTCGATGGTGATGTCACCAGTGGATATTTTAAAACCCGAATTTCAGAGATTTCCAGAGTTTGGTAAAACCTTTCCTCTCAATTGTACAATTGATGAAGGTGATATATTATTTATGCCTTCCTTTTGGTGGCATGAAGTACAGTCATATCCTAGTAGTACTACACACAGAAATGTAGCTATAAATTTTTGGTACGAACCATTCTTCACAAAGGAGTTTCCATGCCCAACCTGCCCTCTGGATGTCAATCCAATTTATGCTCATTTGTTGTGACAGCCAGCTGTTCCAATAAATGGACCTCCTCCCTTGTTGTTAAATATTTTGTATTCAGGATCAGGTTTGGATTTCATCTCACTGCCACACTGTAGCACAAAATTAGCTCCTATTTAAAATGAAGCAGGTAATAAATGTTCCTAAATCAAATGAAAGTCTGTGAGGCAGTAATTACTAGACACATACATCCCATGTACACCAAGCGCTTGGTGTAGGTTCATGTTTCTCAATTAGTGTGTATATTTTTACAAACTAAGGCAAATTTACTTGTTGATTGCAAGTATGTTATTTTTTGAGACATCTACTGTTTTTAACTGGTCATCAGTAAATATTGCTACAAAATGATGAATAAATAGTACAGCATACCTTGTTATAACAAAAATTTGGGAATGTACAGTTCCAATCAGTG